CTTTAGTGTGATTATCAATGATTGTTCAATTTTCATTTGCAGTGCCATAATTGTTAGCACAGAAATTAACGAATGCATTAGAAATTTTAAAGAGTTTTCATCAACGATTGATTAATAACATCGGAACGTGTTTTGTGACACATGTTACTGATTATGGATGTTAAAGATGGTCGGTGAATATACACATTCTCCAAAATTCAACACGTGGTATTTATCTCCCAACTCTGGAATAAACTCTTATACGTGCATGCTTCATAATGTGTGACATCATTTCATAATTTTATTGAATGCGACCGGCGAAAAGTGCTGTTTAGACGACTTACTTGCAATGACAAGACAGGAGAGGGCGACAAGATGAAGTGTTGCTTCTTTTATATCATATTTATCCATAAATCTGTCCATGCAGTATATGGAAAGGTGAAGTGTATAGGGTGCTAGTTCGTATTTCTCTGAGATGATAGCCAGCCAGTCAACCAAGAACCGCCTCAGGCCAAGCTGTGGTGAATTTCCATAAAAAGGTGCGATCTGCTTTTCTTTTGCTTTTAGAGTTTGATGGATGTCGCTGGCCAAATCCGACTCAGTCCACTGTTCTCTTAACAGTGTCATAATACGATCGTCTTCCTTCTACAAAACTAGACCTACATTTAGTTCCTTTTAAAAGAAAGCGTCATAAAAAGGAATTGTTTCTATTATTATGTCAAAATGAATTTCTTCTAAATTATATGTAGGCCTAATATAAATCCTGTAGAATGGAAGATGTATTGGTGTCTAATTGGTAACATCGCTACATATTGACTGGAATCAAATATATCGTAGGTTTATAATTAAAGCGATGGATGCGATGTGAACGAATATTATTAGGAAACTATATAAAAATACGATTGCTGTGATTTAACATGGCCTGCTACGCCGGCGCAGTTAAGTCTTTAACTGCGCATGCTTCACCCTTCACAGCTACACTAGGCCTACACGTCTTACACGAGACAGGAAAATCCATTACAGCGCCACCAGCTTGAAGCGTATAGCAGGTTTCAGAATTGCTGAAATTATGATAGATTAGGTCACGCAATTAGCAAGGTCTTTGGACTCATTGCTAGTACCTCATCAATACTTTTTCATTTATGTCATTGTGAAAAGGCCCTAGAAAAAATGTCTGGAATAAACGGGGGGGGGGGGGGGGCGTACGACCTTCCCGACCCGCTTGCATACACCCATGATATATCTTCAATATTTATAATTAAAAACCAGAGCTGTTAAAGACCATGTGAACTGTGGTCTTTCTTTAATAGGAAGGTGACCTGTTGCATCCCCATCCGGCCCTCAAGTAAGAGATTCAATTTTTTTTTTAATGGTCAAACACAAGTAAAAACTAAACACGGTTTAAAACGTTAATTGATTATACACTGGCACAACATTACATTGTTTAAAATCTGTTACTAAACACCAAAATACATTATGAATATATCAGAATTACGAAAGAAAATATTAGCGCATACAGTAAAACTTCTAATAATAATAACCCATTACACTATTAGTAAAATCATCTAATAGTAACCAACAATAGAAGTTAATTTATAATAGTAACCTAGTACTCTAATATTAACCTATGAGGTTACCAGAGTCAGCAAAACTATTGACAAAATGACACTTAAATCAACATTTTTTGTCACTTTAACAAGAATTATTCATTGCTCCGTTGATGATCCTTTTTTAATTTACTCCTTGGTAATTTTCCATAATACCAGAGCACTGTTTATAAATAAAATTAAATACACAAAGATTTTTTACTCGTACTGTGTTATTTCTATGAATTGCTGACGCGAACAGCTGGGGAGGGTGGGGTTTACTAACCCATCAGGCACTAAAGTTAAATAGATAGGCCTATGTCACAATTGACTGACAAATCATGCCATGACTATCCGCTACCAACAATTACTTTTAAGGTTCGGGTTAAGCCAGCTCCACCAATCAGCACCACTTGCGTAAAATCGTTGAAACATGACGAATGAATGCAAACAATAACTACGGCCTTTCAACATTTTTAGTAGGTAGGCCTTATGTATTTTCGAGCGGGTAGGATTACCCGTTCGAAAACATTAAGTGTTTTATGGATGTTTGGCATCCAATTCATGGTCATGGGTTCATAATGAGTAAATACAGTAAATTCATAGTACCTTCATATCTTCAACCAGGGAGTTGTGCTTCAACTAAAAATGGAAACTAGCCAATCCGAAGTCTTATATTTTATTCAGCTTTAAGCACTAGGGCCAAGGATAGGTCTATGCAAAACAATGAACTTCATCACTTTTCAAAGTGGCAAATCAAATCCCATCACAACAGGGACGGTACGGACCAGTACACCGGGGTAACCCTTTACTCATCTCGAAAGATGTACTCGAACTGGGTTCTTTAAACTGCACATGAGCCAACTGTGTACCCTGGTCCTACTGTTTCCGGTCCCTATCGGAGAAGACTTGCGAGAGGCCGTTGTCCGAACCAGCGCCGATATTATTAGCTGTATTATATAGGTAGCGGCGCCCCTGCCTTAAATGCTAGGCTATTCGACTAGCCAACGGCCATTCCACTCGCTTATAATGAAGTCTATTGATCAAAATATATTACTATTTAATTCACGAATCACTCGATAAAACAATAAAAATTAACACTAACAAACGCTTGTCCTAAAGAGACTATCGAAGCGGACGCCACTACCGTCAGATCGTGACGAGTTGCTTAATGTGACTTAAGCCTTGGGTGTTTCGTCCACATGCGCGAGACTTACCGTGACCCCATCTAGGTACCCAGGGACACATTAATGATCTCACGTATTATGAATCTCAACAAATTGTGAGAATATTCATAAACTCACCTCAAATATGGAATACAATATATTCTGAAAGGTAAACTTAGAACGACATACAACATGTGGATAGGAATGAAATATGCAAATGAATGCTGAAAAGGTTTCCGTTACCGACTTCGGTATTTCGGAAGGATTATACCATTTTTTCAAAGGGATATTTTGATTGATCGCAGGTGTCGCAGGTATGAATTGCAGGGGCGGATTTAGGGGGGGGGGGCCGGCCCGGCCCCGGCCCCCCTTTTGGGAGGTAAAAAAAGAAAAAAAAAAGTCCAAATAAGGAAGTTAAGGACTGCCCTACCAAATATGAATCGCTCATTTTCTTACGAACCCGGAAGTTTACACAGCTGTCTCTTATACACATCTAGATGTGTATAAGAGACAGCTTCGGTATTTCGGAAGGATTATACCATTTTTTTCAAAGGGATATTTTGATTGATCGCAGGTGTCGCAGGTATGAATTGTATAGAAATTGTGTAATTTGTTTTGTTGTTCGGGTGATAGTAATAGTGAAATCAGAGTGGTGCTTCTTAGTAATTCATAACATATTTTAAATGAATAAACTCGAGTAATCTGGCACATATATCGTATATGCTAACAAAGAGGTATCATCTGGCTAAACTAACCGGCGTGTCGGTTAGTTTTACCGAAATAAGTCCCGTGCGATTGCGGCTTTAGAAACATGATGAGGGCCGATAGAAAAGTGGAGGGAGCTAGCTTAGGTGGTTTCAGACCTGGGTTCAGTGTCACCTTATTTTTAACAACTTGCTATTTCTTTTTGCAGACGATAGGACATAGAGAGAGCGCAAACACTCTATAAACAAGAAATATTTCCTATAAAAAAACACCGCAACTTCTGTAGCTTATTCAATTTGTGTATACAGATACTTCCAAATTTAACAAATTTTGTTATCGTATTTAATTTAGCTGATTCAGTATATAAATCTGTAACTATATTTTCTATAGATCAATAAATATAACTCTATGCTTATTTATTGTTAAGGATAGGCCTAATTTAATGCAATATGCATAATACTGTATATGATTATTTTTTTAATAAAATTGATGTTAAAATAATATAATGATAACACGAATATGGAATTATCAAAGGGTGGGTCATTTAATTAATTACCCAGAACCAGACAAACCCAGCTGCAGGAAGAATCTTAAAGCTGTCACCTACTAAGTCTCGACCACGTTGATAACCTTCAGATTCTTGATCATCAGCTATTGTCGATCCACTGCTGGACAAATTTTTCAGGATGTCGTCGCCAAATCAATCTTTTTCTCTTGCTGTGTTGCACCATTTCACACTTCCCCAATAAATATCGATCTCATCTCTTAATCTTTTACGTTGTTTCCCTTGTTCGTTTTGCCATCCATGGGGTCTGTTACTGTTTGTATTTGTTTGTACTCCTGCTGAGTCAGCCAAGTTCAACAAACACCACTGAGCCAAACCGCATTTTTACCATTATTGTTATTAATATTAACAATAATATATTAATTTTAATATTATGATTTATTTGTATTTATTCCCCTCCCCCACTAGCTTGGCTAGGCCTTTCTACTACTGCCGCCAGTGTGTGGCTATTTTTTATGGGTCGATAAAACATGGGTACCGTACGATATCTCGATAATATAGTTAGCCTAACCCTAACCCTCTTCAGTGTAAGGCACCGTATTTTTCGACATTAAATGTGGAATACCCTGGCTCTACTAGTGGCTAGTGGTAGGCCCTAGGTTGTGTCGTCAGTGTCGGTTATTTTTTGTGGGATTGTCAATGCATAGGTCTACGTACGTAGGGACGACGATAGAGCCTAATATACTTTTTTTGCGATAATTTAATTACACTTCCCAAGGTAATTCAACAAAAGGACGCACATCTCGGGACATCAAAGGATATAACTCTGGCATCGACATTCTAGGCGCACGTGCGTCCCTACACGCTGAACGTCACAAAAACCATAGCAACCAGGCCATAAACCGTCAGCGTACGTGACGATTTACCCACGCGCGTGTTAGTTGCCATCTGCCAACGTTGTCAAAATGACAGATTAATGTTACATAAGAACATGAAATTTTATAAAATTCGTAAATTTGAATTGTTATAACTTTTCATTTTCTTGGTCAATTTTCACAAATCAAATTGCAGTTTATAGAAGCATTTAACAAGCTCGCGGTAAAAAAAAATCAAATGTAACAGACATTGCGAAGTACCCAAAATTAATAAAATAAAAACTAACACCATAAAACGAATGGCACGCATAGACTAACAATTGACGGCTGTACTCGCAACTAGTATCGGATTGTCGATGCCACAGTAAAGATCAAAGGACTGTATGCACGCGCTATGTTCGAGAGCGGAGATGTGCGTCCTTTTGTTGAATTACCTTGCACTTCCCCATGACGAACACTTATGAACTGGCTTTAAGATAGCCAAAATAGAGGCTTTCGACCCGCTCGAGTTATCATTATATTCCATTACAGTTTCCCGTTTCTATTTCCTACCCTCTTCGCAGCCGCTGTTTGGTTCTTAAGACGTCTTCGCAGCCGCTGTTTGGTTCCTGAGACTCTTTTTTCGTAACTGCGCACGCTCGACATGGCTCGATAACGTCACTTTTTCAATGCACATGCTCACTGGCTGTCTAGCATTTCCAAGCGCATGCTCACTGTTTTTATTATAAATAGCCTAATTCACGGACGTTACTTGGTAACTGCGCATGCGCATTGCTTAGTTCGGAATTCTATGTGGAATTTCAAAACGGGACAGGATTAAGATTTTCACAATTTCACAATAATTTATCAGTAATCCGACAAGTATGAGTTGTCTAGGGACAATATAAATAAAGATCCTGATGGAAAAATAATTTGTTTTGTTCTGGATTTCACTTGACCTATTATAAGTTTCCGTAGTATTTCCGTACGTCCGTAATTAGGCAAAATATAAGTAGAAAATAGGCCTAACCAAGGACTGTCTCTTATACACATCTAGATGTGTATAAGAGACAGATATATATTATATATACTGTATATGAAAAATCAAATAGATAATGCTAAATTATATAGGAACATGATGTAGTAAATCACGAAAGTCCCCTATAAAATTGTATATGAAAAAAGAGGTCCCTGTGGTAATCGAACCCGCCAAAATCGTATTTTCGTAAACATGAAAACATGGCCTACTTTGTTTCTGAATTGCTTTTGCCAACAAACCAGTTCATTCAAAATGTTTCTACCTTTCTTTCAAAGAATTTCAATATAGGCTATCGCTTAATTGCTATTTTAATAAACGTTATTCATATCGACAAATACAGACATGGGGGCCGGGCATGTGACAGCTCACCGTCCAAATAAGGAAGTTAAGGACTGCCCTACCAAATATGGATCGCTCATTTTCTTACGAACCCGGAAGTTTACACAGTACCCACTACTGCTTGTAATTAACTCACCAACAGCGGTCGTAATCCAAGCCCGTGAATCCTTTAAAAAAGTGGTAATTTCGATAAAACTGAGGTACAACGTACAATTTTAAATTGCCAACCATGTCGGTGTCCCTGAGTAAGTACATTTTATATTCATTCAAGCTCTGCTAGATATTAAATATAAACAGAAATGTAGCCTCCTCTAGCTAGGTAGGCCTAGCTAGGCTGGTGTAGAGTCGTTTCGGCCCTGTGTCGATTCGGCCCGGTCGATTCGGCCCCGAGTCGTTTCGGCCCTGAGTCCTATTGGCCCAGGTCGTTTCGGCCCTGAGTCCTTTCGGCCATGAGTCCTTTCGGCCCTGAGTTGATATTTTTGTCATGCATTTCGGCCGCGGTGTATGGAGCGCCGAAGTTGCGGCCGCGAATAATACAGTATTTTAATAGAACAAGGTGGCAAGCAGTACACCGTTTGTTAATGAAACTTAGGCTACATTAACAATTCTTTTTAGTAGTATTTTATTATTATTATTATTATTATTATTATTATTATTCTTATTATTATTAATTTCAATCGAAATGCTTACAAACAATAGGGCGCGACCACTTCTGACCCGGGTTGTTTCGGCCTGCTAACCCGGGTCATTTCGGCCCAGAAAAGGCTAAAACGACCCGGCCGAATTGACCCAGGCTGAATCGACTCAGGGCCGAAACGACCCGGAACCAGCTAGGCTGGTCTGTTCTTTTGTTGGTAATGGAGGAGAAGGTCATCGGATGAGCAACACGTACGGTAGGCTTGAATTTTTCCGAATGGTGTATCATTATTAGGATGGCCTACATGTACAGTAGGCGTCGTAGTGCTATCTGTATGGGGATGTGTTGCGGTAGTAGTGTTAGTAGATGTTATTTTCATGCGAGCAAATTATATTTTATTTGCTGTTTAACAGAGCATAATTCGAGTTGGCCAAACACTCTGTGGCGATCGCTTCACTGTGCTGCGTGCACTGAACTGTGGAGAGTCTGGGTCCCTGGTTGAATTTCTTCACTGCCTTTTTGTGCTTCAAGAGCCTTCAGGTGGATGGCTAACAAAATACAGGTCAATGGTGTATCTAGGAATTTGAAATAGAGTGGAAAGGGCCCAGGGAAAGACTTTCACAGATGGATGGATAGACCACCATGGTTAGGGCTGAGATAAAATTTATGATATGGCACCTCTAATAAACTTTTTTAAATAATGTTGACAAATTCAGCTTCCCCCTCCCTCCTTGAACCACCACAGCAAGTTATTAACTTACTACTAGCTGGTTGAATAAAATTGTATGAAAACACAAAAGTACCGAACTTATTTCCATTGTGGTCCAAAAATACTAGATACAGAATAAGAAATAATCAAGTTAAATCACACCAAACAATAAATCAAATATTTATACAATACCATTTTATGAATCTATTTCTTACTGATTGTTTTAAATGTATAAAAGCGAGAGCATTGCAGCGATCTACAACCTTTGAATTTGCCTAGTAACGTAGAATTCGTCGTGAAAATGGTAATCTCCTATGAGAAATAGTCTGTATTTCTCTTTTTTTTTAATTCTTTGCGTAAAACTAAAATTTATGTCAATATTTTTTCATGGTTTATAATAATTAGAGCAATGCATATGCATTTTTTCTAAAAAAAATCTTCTCTTAGTGAAATTTTGCCGGGAATGAAAGATAGTACGCTATTGAAACTTAACATTTCAGCCCTACAGCTGAAACACAAGAAATAATAATAATAATAATAATAATAATAATAATAATAACAATAATAATAATAATAATATTAATAATAATAATAATACAGTAATAACACACACAATAATAATAACAATAAGAGCAGTGATGGGAATTGAGTACACATACAGTGGCTATCACCAGTTCAGCTGCATGAGCTGAGCTGCTCTCTACAATGGTGGGACAATATTTGGTAAGTAGGGAGAGAGTAAGCTACATCACTAATACCTAATGTTTGCCTCCACACAGAGTCTGTCTTTGCTTGCCTGCCAAGAACGGAGAGGGGTAAAAGCATGAAACTTGGCAGTGATCCAAAAGGGAAGAACTTTCTTTACTGCAATGGGAATTCCGTTTTCATAAGAGACATCGAGGTACAGTACAGTGCTTCCATTTTCATATTTCAGTCACACTAGATACCTGCCTATGGCTGAACCTGGAAAAACCAGTGGCGGATTCAATAAGGTTTCCAGCAGGCCCATTCAAATCCCCCCCCCCCCCCAACAAAAAAAAAAAAAAAAATGAATAAAAAGGAGATTCCACACCTTTATTAATATAATTATAATTAAAATATTTCATTTAAAAATCTATGCAGTGAACTGTTTGTTATAAGGAGCTATCATTGGCAGATTCAAATTTTCCTTCCCCTTTATTAAAAAGATCTCCACCCCCACAGTATTCCTCATATTCTCCCAAGGTCTTGTCATGCTATAATTGTCAGTGTTTTCTTTTCAGAATCCTTTGATATGCGATATATATTCCGAGCATGTATACACATCT